TTCTGTGAACTCTGTCTTCCCTTAGAATTGAAAAAGGACTATGTGTACAAAAATCCAGTTAGTAGAAATAAGTTCTAGTATTTGATAGTACAACAGGGAAATTATAGTTAACATTTATTTCTTCTACCAAAGTAGTTAGAAAAATTGCAGTGCTCCTAACACAAATAAAAGATCAATGTTTGAGGCCAGGTGCAGTGGCTTTACACCTGTATTCCCAGCACTTTGGGAGGCTGAGGCGGGTGGATCACCTGACATCAGAAGTTCGAGACCAGCCTGGCCAACATGGCAAAACCCCATCGGTACTAAAAATACAAAAGTTAGCCGGGTGTGGTGGCACACGCCTGTAATCCCAGCTACTCAGGAGGCCGAGGCAGGAGAAATGCTTGAACTTGGGAGGCGGAGGTTGCAGGGAGTTGACATTATGCCACTGTACCTCAGTCTGGGCACCAGAGCGAGACTCTGTCTCAAAAAAAAAAAAAAAAAAATCAGTGTTTGAGGTGATGGATATCCCAGTTACTCTGATTTTATCATTATATATTGTATGCATGTATCAATATCACATGTACCCCCAAAATATGTACAACTATTATGTCAATTAAAATTTTTTTAAAAGAAACAGATGACATTTATGAATCCCCTCTACAAAATACCCAAGTTATCCTCTTTAGTTTCTTGTTATACCTTTATGTGAAAAGAGGGCATTCACTGAGCAGGTGACCTGTTCCAGTACTGGATCACTCATAAGTTTTCTCATACTGAACAGAAATCTTCCCTCTTGCTAAATTTAATTGGTCTTGTCTCTTGGAGCCATTCATGTCCTGTTCTTTCCATTATCCTGACAGTTTCTAGTATACTCGCCATAACTTTGATTCCTGATTGTGGAATCACATCCTTTCTGGTAGGTATATCATCCCATTGAGGCTGAGAATATGTTCTTTTTTTTTCCTTTGGAGTTTCACTCTTGTTGCCCAGACTGGAGTGCAATGGTGCAATCTCGGCTCACTACAGCCTCCACCTCCTGGGTTCAAGTGATTGTCCTGCCTCAGCCTCCTGAGTACTTGGGATTACAGGCATGTACCACCACGCCTGGCTAATTTTTTGTATTTTTGGTAGAGACGGGGTTTTACTGTGTTGGCCAGGCTAGTCTTGAACTTCTGACCTCAGGTGATCCACCCGTCTTGGCCTGCCAAAGTGCTGGGATTATAGGCGTGAGCCACCGCGCCTGGCAGAAAATGTTCTTTTATAGTTAGCTTTTTTTGAGCTACAGTATTAGCCCCTTTAAATTTAATCTTTAATCCAGTCTTGCTTGGTTTTTGGTTTTTAAATCTTAATTAGCTTATATCATTGGACGATTTATTAGAAGTACGCCATTTATGCGTTTCTCAACTCCTTTTTTTTGAGATGGAGTCTCACTCTGTCGCCCAGACTGGAGTGCAGTGGCACGATCTCGGCTCACTGCAAGCTCCTCTTCCCGGGTTCACGCTATTCTCCTGCCTCAGCCTGCCAAGAAGCTGGGACTACAGGTGCCCGCCACCATGCCCGGCTAATTTTTTATATTTACGGGGTTTCACCGTGTTAGCCAGGATGGCCTGGATCTCCTGACCTCGTGATCCACCCACCTTGGCCTCCCAAAGTGTTGGGATTATAGGTGTGAGCCACCATGCCCAGCCACCTTTCTCAGCTCTTATGGTCAGCATCTCACCAGAAACACTTGCCACTTGTTTGGTTCTTTTGGTCTATCATTGGGCCAATAAGCAGCCTGACTGCTGTTTACCCAACTCTTCTGTTACTTGTGGGTTCTAACAAATAGCTTTAAAGTTGTTTTATGGTTAATTCGGTGTTCAACTTTGGGGAAAGAAGTGCTTAACTGCCATTTTAATTCCCAGGGAACTACTTAAAGTAGTTCAGCATATTACCCCAGTGTAAAATAAAACATGTAGGGATTCCAAAGTTACTACCTACAAAAGACAGATTACTCATTTTAGTAGCATTTATCAACACCTTTCCTTAAAAACTTAAGTTTTTAGTATAGCTTTAAAATTTTACATCTTCAGTGATTGGTTCACTCTTAAGTAACTGCACGTGTTTATGGCCTTCATCTCTACATACATAGAGGGGGTTAAAGTTACTGAAAAGTGAAAGACGTGATTAGGCAGTATTGCTTTTTTTGAGACAGTCTCACTGTCACCCTGTCCTAGAGTACAGTGGTACAATTCAGTTATAAATCACTGCAGCCTCAAACTCCTGGACTCAGACGATCCTCCCGTCTCAGCTCCCCAGTAGCTGGGACTATAGGAGTGTGCCACCACACCTGGTTAACTTTTAAATTTTTTTGTAGAGGCAGGATCTTATGTTCACTGGGGTGGTCTCAAACTCCTGGTCTCAAGAAGTGATCCTCCCACCTCAGCCTCCCAAAGTGTTGGGATTACAGGAGTGAGCCACCGTGCCCTGCAATAGTTGTTTTAAAGTGTATTGTACTGGAAGGAATGATAGCCTTGCTTCTACAGCTAGATTATGAAGTACCAGAATATTGTGCTTCCAGCTTCCAGCTTCTAGCATAGTGTCTGGTGTTACTGTGATAATAGATAATGAGTGCTTACTCCTAAGTGCTTACCTGTATTTTTTCTCAACAATCTTAGAGGTCTCTGCCTTACAGTTGAGATAACTGAATCATTGAGATTAAGTAGTTCACAGTGTTGAGTGCTGTAATTCAAATCCAGACTCACCCCAGAGCCACTATGTTTATGCCATCTCCCATAGTTGAATGAATAATACAATTTGTATAACAATGAAACTTTTGAAAACCCTGGTCATTTGTTTCTTAAAATATTGTTTTTAAGTGGAAAGACTCACCTGACTATTTTAAATGCAAGTCTTTTCCAGTGTTAGAGGCAGATCTCCAGAGAGCAACCATAGGTGGTAAAAAGCATTGTATACAAAGGACAAAACACTTTTGCAGCTAAGAGAACTTTGGATATGAAAGTATGAATGTGGTGTAATACAGAGGTTGCTGTCCTAACCAAAATGTTCTTCTGATTTCAGGCCAGTAGTTTTATTTTTATTTTTTATTTATTTTGAGATGGAATCTTGCTCTGTCATCCAGGCTGCAGTGCAGTGGTGCAACCTCAGCTCACTGCAACCTCTACCTCTCAGGCTCAAGCAGTTCTCCTGGCTCAGCCTCCCAAGTAGCTGGGATTACAGGTGCCCTGGCTAATTTTTGTATTTTTAGTAGAGACAGGGTTTCACCATACTGATGAGGCTCACCTCAAGTGATCCTGCCACCCTAACCTCCCAAAGTGCTGAGATTACTGGCATGAACCACTGCGCCCGGCCTCAGGCCAGTATTTTTAAGTATCAGTTAATAATTGTAGGAAACATCATTTCAGGTTGACTTTTCTCACCTTTAACCTTTCTTACAGCACAGTGCAATCTGGCCCTACTGCCACTTCATCTGGGTTATCTAGCTTGAGTTGTAAAAAAAAAAAAAAAAAAAATGGGGGAAGAAGTTGGGTTAAAACTGTTCACCTACCCACCATTGGAACATAATGGGTAAACACAAAGTTAGAGTTACTATTTAAAAGCATTTTTCAAATTTATATTTTGCATATAAATAGGTGCTATGTATACTCATACTTTGTTTTGTAAGTATGGATTTATTTGGAATTTAGCTCAACTAAAATTGACTTCACCTTGATTCCCAGAGTGTACTTGAACTTTAAAGGAAGCAGGATAGTGAGAATGGGTGGTTGGGGTTTTTTTGTTTGTTTTAATGTTTACCTAATTCTACTACTAGAATTATTTTTCTCCCCCTTAACTGAAAATTTAAAAATTACACATTTATTGAGTCTTCCCATCCCCAACACAATGATCTAATTTTTTTTGCTTTAAAATCAATTACAGAGTGTAATGTTTAAAATCCTGATCAAATGACTCAGACTGTAGTAATAGTTTTAGACAGAATTTTATAGGAGGATGATTTAATTTTATCTGTTGTCTGGGATGATCTGTAATCATGTATCTTACTAGCCGAAAATGACGTCAATGAGATTATTAAAGGTCTGCTCTTTTAAGATCTGTAAGTCTCCTACCACTGTCTTTTTAAATTTTTTTAAATTTTTATTTATTTATTTTTTGAGACGGAGTCTCACTCTGTCGCCTAGGCTGGAGTGCAGTGGTGTGATCTCGGCTCATTGCAAGCTCCGCCTCCCAGGTTCATGCCATTCTCTTGCCTCAGTCTCCCGAGTAGCTGGGACTACAGGCTCCTGCCACCGTGCCTGGCCAATTTTTTGTATTTTTTAGTAGAGACGGGGTTTCACCGCGTTAGCCAGGATGGTCTCGATCTCCTGACCATGTGATCTGCCTGCCTCGGGCTCCCAAAGTGCTGGGATTACAGGCATGAGCCACCGTGCCTGGCCCGTACCACTGTCTTAATTTAGGAAAAATGAAACTTTCGTTTTGAATAGTTTTTTTAATCTGTTGTGAGGTTTGCTTGAATTGTGTTCTTATAAATGAAGTTTATTTTGTTCCTCTCTCTCTGGCATGGACTCCTTAAGTGTCTTACATTATTGGTTTCTGCTTTAGTCATTTCTTCAGAGTCCCAAAAGGTTCATCCCGTATGTTCTATTTTCATGTCATGAACACATGAAACTTCAGATGGAAAGCTTGCCAGCTCATTAGAAAATGTTCCTAAATATGAACGGTCATGCTTCACATTCATTGAAATCAGTATGTACATAGATGACATTGTCAGGGACTGATACTCAATTGTATTGTCCTCAAATAATAAACTGAACACTAACTTCAAACTTAAAGTATTTCTGCCCAAAGCATTCTGCTTTAAACCACAAATTCATGTGCCAGCTGCATTCACAATTGTATTGACAGTGACTGGGTGTTAAAGTTGTATAACTTAAGGCTATAGTTTGTCCTTTAAAAAATGCAAGTTCTTTCAGTTTTGTAAATGTTTTATTCTCACTATGTCTGTTTCTTTTCTTCTTAAGTCTCTTTTGGAAAAGTTCTTGATCCCCAATGCTTCACAAGCAGAGAGCAAAGTCTTCTATTTGAAAATGAAAGGAGATTACTATCGTTACTTGGCTGAGGTTGCGGCTGGTGATGACAAGAAAGGTATGCTGTTTTTAAACCTGTTGGTTGAACTTGTATAAGATAACATAGTGAGGAAGAGTCTCTGAAGCGTAAATAATTCCTTGCTTTTAATTGCTTAGAGTGCCGAATAAGGAGTAGCAGTGTTTTTTTTTGTGTTCTGAGAATATATATCTACTGCCTAATACTGGTATTCTAATATATATGCTTTCTGAAAAGCCAATTTTGTGCACAGGGATGTTTTTTCAAGATTTTAAGAAAAGTGACCAGCCTGAGCAACATCTCTCTCTACAAAAAATGTTTTGAAAATTAGCTGGGCATGGTGGTGCAAGTGCAAGCCTTTAGTCCCAGCTAATCTAGAGGCCGAAGTGGGAGGATCACTTGGGTCTGGGAGATCAAGGCTGCAGTGAGCCCTGATTGTGCCACTGCACTCCACCCTGGGTGACAGACCCAGACCCTGTCTCAAGAAAAAAGAAATAGTGGTTACAGTGTAACTGAGGAGCAGTGCAAACTAGTTAATTTTTAAAAAATATAACAGTAATGAGATTATAAAGTTGTTTTATCTTGACATTGACCGATGACTAGTGTGTACCAGGAGAAAACTCCCTTTGAAAAAAAATTAAAGGGCCTTGTTCAATTAACCAGTATTAAGCTGTTACAGGTTAGTATTTCAAAGGATACCTGAGATATTAAAGGTTTGGTTTGAGGGGTGAAGATACAATGCACACTTTATCTCAGTACGTTTTGGTGTGTCTTATCCAGGGATTGTGGATCAGTCACAACAAGCATACCAAGAAGCTTTTGAAATCAGCAAAAAGGAAATGCAACCAACACATCCTATCAGACTGGGTCTGGCCCTTAACTTCTCTGTGTTCTATTATGAGATTCTGAACTCCCCAGAGAAAGCCTGCTCTCTTGCAAAGACAGTATGTATTTTACCTGTTACATAGAAATTTAGCAGTCTTTATTACTTGAGCATTGAAATCTAATGTACTATTTTTAAATCATAGGCTTTTGATGAAGCCATTGCTGAACTTGATACATTAAGTGAAGAGTCATACAAAGACAGCACGCTAATAATGCAATTACTGAGAGACAACTTGACAGTAAGTATATAACAGCATCATTAGTGATGAATGTGGTTGAAGAGGTTATGTTTTACTCCGAGGAATGTTTTTTTTTTATTAAATACATCTTTTAAAAATTTTTTCTCAACACAATTCATAGGCTCTCATAAGTAGCTACTGTTAAAATCATATGAAGGAAAACTACAGAAACTGAAATATTAGACTAAGAACTAAAAAATATACACATTGATGTTACCTGTGTTACTAAAATTTGAATGTTAGTATCAAAAGTGTACTGAGGCTCTACATGTTTTAGTTCCTTTAAGAATGATTTTCTTGCCCATCAAGTTGCCTCCGTATTTGTAAAGATAATGGTAGGAAATTAATAACTTGAGTTATAAAATCTCAGGTGTCTACAGAATCCAAGTGGAAGTCTATTTTGCCTAGCTGCTGCTTTTAAATAACTTAATATGAAAGGTCGTGATTGTCCTTGGGATACTGCAGATGTATAAAAAGAAACAGTGTCACTATCACACTGGAAACATCAACAGTAATTCCCTAATAATGTTTGAATATCTAAATAATACTTGAATTCCAATTGTCTCTCTTTTTTTAAGTTATTTGAATTGGGATTCAAATTCAGTCCACAGTGCAGTTGATTTGTATGTCTTGTTTCTTAGGTCTTCTCATTCAGATCAATATTAGATTTGAAATTTTGAGGCTTAGGTGAAAAAATTATCAAGCATTTGCTGTGTTGTGTCAGGTAAAGAGGTAGGAATTGCAGATGATAATCTAGTATTACTGTTTTTTTGTTAGACTTTTAGGGCCATTTCTCTTGGGGATTATATAACCTCATTTTATACATTTCTCTTCCAACTTTATTCTAGTCCACTGCCATTTTCTATGAACTAGTTATATATTCTAGTGCTGAAAATCTTGAGTTTTTTGAATAGCATTGTATACTTGTTTATTAAACCTAAAATTACTTTATTAGCGCAATTTGGAGCTACCTATAAACTTTTCTGATACTTGAGTCAAGATAATAAGCTATAGTAAAGAATGAAAGAATCTTTATATCAAACGTTAAGAAGCACTTTGTTAACTAACTTTGGTATTAAGGATTTTTCTTTTCTAGTTTGAAGTGATGACATATTTCAAGTGATGACCTGAGACCTAGATACTGTGTTTTGTTCTCATCACTTTTTGAAAGGCCCTGATCTACTGTCTGCTTCCAACTGAATTTTGCTATCAGTATAGCATGAAGAGCATATATTGCAATAAGAAAACCAGGGTT